GGGAGAGATTAAAAGAAAGAATTAGAAATATTTTTTTAAATTAGAAATAAACCAAAAGATATAGAAAAACAGCTGGGAATGATTTAGCTCAGTGGTTCTGCAAGGAGCACTTTCCTAGCATGCCTTATAATTACTCATTAAGCCATACATTTGTTATTGAGATTTTTTTTCCTCTGTATTTGTTTTATTTTATAATTAATAGGTTATGAAATGTAAGGAAAGGGCAAACAGCACATTGTCAAATATTTCCAAAAAATGTTTAAAAATGTCATGCTAATTGATAAGAAAATGCTAATGCTCCAACAAAGAATTGCAGAGGACATATATTAAAAAGCCTATAAACATTAAATGTTGAGCCTCACTATTGTATTCCTTAAAAGACAACTTTTAGGTGACGAAGGAGAAAGGGAAAAGCTTTATATTAAATACATACCTCCAAGTAAGGTATGGCCTCATAGCTATTGTGAAAGAGGGTGGGGATAAGCCCATGTACACTTCACTTAATAAGTACACTTCACTTTGATAGGTTTTTCTGTTACATTATCCCAGAATGAATACAATACAAAATAGTTTGCTTTCTGTTCATGTTGAATTAGCCTGGGATTTTTTAATGGAAAGATTTTGTAACTAATAATATTGAATGCTTTCTTATACTTCACAGTGAGAGACCTACCACCAATTTGCCTTGATGTTAGACAAAAGCAGCGTATCCCTATAGATACATTACCATCTGAAATGAAGGCCCCAGTCCTTACAGAACCTATCCTTCCTATCCAGCCCAAAACTATGAAAGACTTTCAGTAAGTTTTAATTCACTCTTACATATAGACGTATTGTCATCTGCATGTCAGGACTTTATTTAACTTCTTTGTGTGAAAAATTAGTTGAACTTGTGCATCATTATGAGCTATTAGCCAAGAAAGAAGACACAGAAGACTAGATGTCTCAAGTGGAAGGTGAAAACCAATGTATGAATAACAGGATAACAGGTTACGGTTAAATATGTTGTAGCAAAAGAAAGGAAACACTTAAGAAAGAGAATAGGAGTCAAAATAGGCAAAATAAATAAATGTGATGATAAACTAATAAAATGTTATCATTTTAAAAAATAATTCAGCTACTATGCAAAGTGTTATAAAATATGTCACTATTCAGAAAACCAAAATGCATAATTTGAAAAACTTGATGGGAATGAGAAAGCAGAGACACAGAGTGTAACCAAAACCTCCATAAGTTTTATTATGAAGGAGAGGAAAGAGAGTAACTAATTAAAGGGTCATGTCAAAAATAAACTATTTTTTAAATTAGATGAATTCGAAACTTAACAAACTATGTTAACTAACTGGAACAGATTTTTAAATTCTATTTCAGTATTTTAAATTGCATGTTTGGTGACATACATTTGTAAAAAGGAATGCTGTGGCTATCTGAATAATATTTCTATCTATGTATGATTAATATGTGTTTTCATTTTAGGGAAGATGTGGAAAAAGCTAAGCCATCAGGAGATTGGAAAACAGTACATGATTTTTATCTCACAACATTTGATTCTTTTCCTGGATTAAATGCTATATTTAAGGTAATAATACGTACAACACATTTTTAATTCACTATTAATTTTGAATTTTCCCAAAAAGATATGGCAGAATTACCTCATTTTTTACCCAATATTGATTTAAATGACTTTATAGCAAGCATATATATGTATTGATTTTTAAATTATATGTATTACATTTTTATTTGTACTAGTGTTAAGTTTGACCCAGTTCTTTGATTTTCAAAAAAAGAAAGTTATTGAAACAGTTCTTAGGTATTCGTTTTTTATTTTCAGCAATTTTGCCCTAAGAGTTCCTTTTTATCATCAGACCACAAAATAGAAAACTTCAAGGAAAAGTATGGTGCATATATTACCAAGAGCGGTTCTTAATGTGTTATATAAACTTAATTCTTTAATTGAATTTGCAGAAAGATGCCACTGCCTCATTTAATACCATTGAAGACTCTGGGATTAATGCTAAATTTGTGAATGCTGTATATGATGCTTTACTTAATACTGTGAGTATTATTTATGGGAACATTTAAATAATATAATTCTATGTCTCTTCTGTAGTTCAAGTAAAGCCACATAAACATTGGAAAAATCATCTTGTAGAATGATTACATAGAAACTCTGATATAATTTTATAGTAAATATACTTGGAATTCTCAGAAATTTTAGGTTATTTTATTCTCTTATTTTTCTAATTAACTAAGAACTAAATAAAATACTTTTACATGCAGTCTTTGTTTAGAAAGGCTTGTGAATAGCATGCTTCACTGATTCAGGAAAAGAAGGTAAGTAAGTTATTTGATTGTATTGAAATTGTACTGTTAGATCAGTGTTTCTCAAACTTTAGCATGCATGTATCAGTCATAAAAGTGCTTTCTATAATACAGAGTTTCAGACTCTGTAGGTCCTGGAAAGAACACAAGAATTTTCATTTGTAACAGGTTCCTAGGGTATATTGGTACTCCTGATCCAGGGACATTTTGAGAATCCCAAAGCTGTAGTATGTGAAAAATTGATATCCTTTCAGTCCATCAGCATGATATATCCCTCCAGTTACGTTCAATTACTCTCTAAGTAGAGTTTTGAATTTTCTTCTGGGTAGAGATTTACACATTTCTTGTTACGTTTATTTCTAGGTACTTGATTTTTTGATGCTACTATACTTTCAATTTTTAGCTGTAACTAATATATGGCAATACTTTTATGTATTTATCTGGTTACCTTGCTAAATTCACTCATTAATTCTAATAGTACATCAGTAAATTTACTTTGATTTTCTATGTATACAATCATATCATTTGTGGAGAAATACAAATTTTTATGTCTTTTCAGTTCTTATATCTTGAATGGATGTTGTACATATTTGCCTTATTGCACTGATTAATATCTCTTGTCTAATCCCTTATAAAAGAATTAATAGCAGACTTCTTTGTCTTCTCCCAATCTGAGTACCTCATTGTTAAATATATGAAATGTGTACTTAACATTCTTTGTCACCAAAGCAGTAGAATAACTTTACATATTCGTCAAATTCAATAAAAATTTTGCAAAACCTTTATCAAGTATTAGCAATATTATGTAAAAATTAGAATTTTTATATCCTGATGAGGTGAATATAAATTGGTATAATCACTTTTGAAAAACTACTTGGTATTATATACAATCACTAAACATATGCATGCACTGTGACCCAGTAGTTCTATCCCTGTGTACACTTCTATGACATATTTTGACTTGGAATGATATTAATTTTTTCTGTACACTAAAAAAAAAACAAATATAGAGACATTGGGGGGAAACCTTCTAATATGAGATATAAGCAAAAATTTAAAAATATATTTCAAATAAGTAAACCTAACTATACTTTGAATACTATACCATATATTTTTTAAAAACTCAGCAAGATAACTTTTAACCACAGTACTTTAAACTATAGATCTTAAATTTAAAGACACCAAAAAAGCTCAAAATTGTAAACTAATCTTCAGCTTTTCTTGTTCATTTGTTTGTTTGTTTCCTCACTGGTATGGGTTAACTTTCTGTGTATTATTGAACTAAACAAATAAGTAAACATATTTAAGATGCTGACTGTTGTGTTTCTCACTTTTAGAGAAAGGAGATACAAATGTGGAAATCTGGCATGGAAGAATGCTAAAAATAACTATGATTGTTGAATTGAAATTGGAGATATCATGATGACCTTGTGGTTTTTAGTAGATTTAAATGCATACACACACACATTTAAATATATTAAAATTTAATAGCCCTATGTACTGAAAAGGCCTAGGAACAATAATACCCCACTAGCAGTGAGCACTTCAGCATATATATCTTTACATGTAAATACCATTCCCACTGAAAGGAATTGGAGTTCACTAGAGAAATAGCTAATTTCATGACTAATGCAAGAAAGCACAGATGAACCTATAGCATCTGGTTTCTGACCATTAATTATGATGTTAGCTGTAGGTTTCTTATAGATTCTACTTATCAAATTGAGAAAAATCTTTATTCCTAATTTGCTGATAGTTTTATCATGAATGAGTGTTGGATTTTTGTAAAGTAATTCATTTGTATGGTTGTAATCATACGTTTTTTTCTTCAGTTTGTTGATAAAATGAATTATATAAATTGATTCTTAAGTTTTAAACCTGCCCTGCATCCCTGGAATAAATACTGCATGGTAGTGGTGAATAATTCTTCTTTTTATACAGTTTTGATTCAGTTTGCTAATATTTTGCATAGTGTTTTGCATCTATGTTCATGAGAGATGGCCTATAATTTTTCTTTTTTGTGATGTCTTTCTCTGATGTAAGTATTAGAGTATTACTGTCCTCATAGAATCAGGAAGTATTCTCTCTGCTGCTATTTTCCGAGAGAAATTGTGAAGAATTGATATCATCTCTTCCTTAAATGTTTGATAGAATTTACCAATAAAACCATATGGGCCTGGTACTTTCTGTTTGTCAATTATTCATTCTGTTAGGCCTACTAGGTACGGGTCTATTCAGATGGTTGGTTTCTCCTGGTGTGAATTTTGGTTTATGTGTCTTTCAAGAACACATCTAGGTTTTCAAATTTATAGGCATGGACTTACTCATAATAGTCTTTTATTATCCTTTTAAAGTTCTTGTGATCAGAAATAATGATCCTTTTTTTTTTTTCATTTCAGTTAAGAGTAATTAAGGTGTTCTCTCTTCCTTTCTTGATTTGTTTGGCCAGAAGTTTATCAATTTTACTGAGGCCTTTTGGGGGGTGACGGGAGGGGAATCTAAATTTTTTTGTTTGTTTTTTAATGTATTGGTTCTTTTTAGTTACATATGACAGCAAAATCCATTTTGACACAATTATACAAACATGGAATATATCTTGTTCTAGTTAAGAGTCCCATTCTTATGGATGTACATGATAGTGGAATTCACTATGTTGTTTTCATACATGTACATGGAGAATTGTGTCAGATTCATTCCACTGCCTTTTCTTTGCCTATCCCCCCTCCCTTCCCTTCATTCCCTATTACTGAAGTCTTTTTAAATAAACATCTAAATACTTGATTTTGCTACATTTTGAATTTTGATTTTCCCTTATAGTTCCATTTTCAATTTGATTGATTTCTGCTTTTATTTTGTCTTTTCTTCTATTTACTTTGAATTTATTTTGTTCTTTTTAGTTTTAGATCTTACTTTTCTTCTAATATGTCCAGTCTATACCTTTCCTTCTGAGAACTCTTTTTGCTATATCCCACTAATTTTAATAATGTTTGTATTTTTTTTACAAAAGTAAACATAAACTTACCATATGATCCAGCAGTTGTGCTTCTAGGTATTTAGAGTTGAGAACTTATGTTCACCAAAAAAACTACATGCAAATGTTCATAGCAGCTTTATTCATAATTGTCGAATTTAGAAGCAACCAAAATGTCAGGTGGGTAAGTTGTTAAGCACATTGTGGTACATTTATATTATGAAATACTGTTCAACAGTATAAAAAATAAGCCAACAAGCTGCAAAAAGACACATGGAAACCTTAAATACATATTGCTAAGTGAAAGAAGCTGGTCTTTACTACACACTAAATGATTCCAATAGAAGAGACAGGAGTTTGATGCAGAAAGAGGAAAAGAGGAATGAGTGGTAAAACTATTCTATATGGTACTATAATGACAGATAACATGACATTAGGCATTTGTCAAAATCCATAGAATAATCACTACAAAATGTGAACCCACATGTAAACTATTGATCTTAGTTAATAATAATGTATTAAATATTGGTTCATTAATTATTACAAATGTTCCACACTAATGCACAATACTAAGGAAAACTATGTAAAGGATTGGGGATGGTATGTATGATAACTACTTTCTGCACAACTTTTCTGTAAACCTAAGACTGCTCTTAAAAAAAAAAATTCTATTACAAATAAAGAAAATAATGTGAGCATGTCACAGAGCCAGCTTGCCCCAAAGGCCAAATCTGAGACAATTTGCTATTAAAATTATAATAATGAATTAAACCACTGGGTGAAATAAGAATCTTTGAGTCTATACTGATAATAAATGATAGAT